CGGCGCCGGGGCTGCCGCTCGCTCGCTCGCTCGCTCGCACTGGCAGTGCGGGTGCAGGCAGCAGCAACTTGCAAGTCACGTGTATTAGCCACACTCTCTCTTTAAGCTTCTTTGCTTCCTCTCTTGACCCAGAAGAAGTAGGGCAGCCCCAGAAGCAAATGCTTTTCCCTCCCCCCGCCTCCGCCGCCACAGAAATGCTAGCTGCGATTCTTCGGGAAAGGGACTGGATAGTGTATTTGCTTAACAGGGCCGTGGGATTGCCGGGCTGCGTTTGGGGCGAGGATGCAACAGAGCATCCCATGTCTGTGCACTCAAAACTCTGGTGCGAAAGGGGTCTGGCTGCAGATGGTACATAACATCTGGGCCTTTCGTTTCGGACTTTATACTGCCACCTATCATTGCAGTAATGGAGTGCTGCTTCTCTGTTTGCACCAGTGCCAGCTTTTTGCATTGGTGATGAGGAGGTCATTATCTAAATATCGTTATTTTATATAGCCTCCAAAAGCCTGCAAGATGCTTTACCGAGCTAAAATAAGTAGTTTTTCTCCCCCTTATGTTATAGTCTCACGCCATCCTGGTTTAATTGAATGGTTTGAGAAGAACATAAGAATGGCCATGCTGGGTCATACAAAGGTCCATCTAGCAGTATCCTGTCTTCCAACAGTGGCCAATGCCAGATGCCCCTCAGGGAGTGAACGGGAAAAGTAATCATCACATGATCCCTCCCCTCTAACCCATTCCCAGCTTCTGACAAACTTGGATTTATGGATGCAGAGCATCTCTGATGATCATGACCAAGATATTATTTTTGCATGCTTTTGCTATCTCTAGTCAGAGACCACTCCAAAGTTGCTGTAGAGCTTTTCATGCATTCATTTTTCCCTGTCTATAAAATGGGGATAACATGCCTATCAAGCAGGGATTTTGTGAGGCTTTATTACAGAATGTTTGAAAAGCCCTTTGAGAACTAAATGTCTTATAAGTTGCAAGTGTTATTTGCACCAGCAAATGACTGATTATCCACGCGGAACACCAAGTGTTTTTAGACACCACCAAATTATCCATATCTAATATATTACCACATACTACAGTCATTTTGGACGGGAGGAAGGCAAATAATTTAATTTGAGTCAATGTTATATGAGCAAAGGTAGTGGCCATGTGACAGCTGAAGTTTGTTCATTACATCTATAAACCAAGACACGTAGCAACACGTCAGCTCCCTACCCCCATGATGGGGATGTTCCAAAGTACCATAAGGAATGCCTAGCTAGTCACACTGCTCCAGTGCAACAAAAATGATTAGGGGGTTGGCAGTCATGATTTACAAGGAGAGGCTGGGGGATTTAGGTGTATTTGGTCTACAGAAGAGAAGAGGGAGGGGGGATTTGATAGCAGCCTTCAACTTCCTGAAGAGGGGTTCCAAAGAGGATGGAGAGAGGCTGTTCTCAGTGGTGATGGATGGCAGAACAAGGAGCAATGGTCTCAAGTTACAGTGGGGGAGGTCTAGGTTGGACATTAGGAAAAACGATTTCACTGGAGAGTGGTGAAGCACTGGGATGGGTTCCCTAGGGAGGTGGTGGAATCTCCATTGTTGCATAAATTTCTTTTACACATCACCATCCCTAGAGGTTTTTAAGTCCTGGCTTGACAAAGCCCTGGCTGGGATGATTTATTTGGATTTGATTCTGCTTTTAGTAGGGGGTTGGATTTGATGACCTCCTGAGGTTTATTCCAGCCCTATGAGTCTAAGGTATGTACAGCATAAAGGTGCTATGATAAATGTAAGTCATGAAGCTGACACTGGAAAGTTTATAGTGTTGGAACTTCGACTGGAGAGTCTTATAAGAAGGAGAATAGAAGGAGCTTGAGTTTGGATATATCTCGGGCTAAGGACCAGAATCACCGCTTTGGAAATATCTTTCTGTGGCAATATATTCCTAGAGCAATGCACGACTGAAGAAAGTGTGAGAAAAGAAGAAAGCAAGAATCCTTGACATTTGCCCCCAGAACAAATGCAGACTATAAGAAAATTGCTGCTTGTGTTATATTGTGTCCTACCTTTAATTTTTGTAAGGCACATGGGATCCAAAGACTCTCAAAGGCTATTCTGGCCAAATATACTGAGCGCCATCTCTGCCCACTTTGGAAAACATGGCCCTTACATCTTTAATGGCAAAATGATTTTTTTTAACCTTCAGGATGGTTCATTATGGCAGCAGATCTTAAAAAAAAAAGTTTGAGTGTGAGGATTTGAATGCTATTTTTTTTTAAATTAATTTGCAGTTCAAACATCTGGCTATATTTGGGATGGGGTTTGTATCAGTCTACTTCCAATTACAAACAAGTTTATGTTATCACCTTTCAACCTTGTCACACATATCACCCCAAACTTGGACTATGGATGTCTACAAGTGATGTGTGCAAAATCTCTGATGATTTTAAATAATCAAATACTTAATAAGAGCAGATCCCTCTCATCCCAATCACATTTGTCCTCTGTGTGTGTCCATTTGCATCTCCTGAGCAAAATAAATAGCTGAATAAATAAAGTGGTTTAATTTCATTTTACCAAAGTAGCTTCTTAAGTATAAGTAGTTAATGAAAAGACTCAGATTATATAAAATGCATAGCGTATTCAATTATGGGCATATTTAAGGTCAAAACTGACTTCTGTTTAGGACCAGTCAATGTACAAACTTTAGCCCTGGTCTTATAAATATATCCTAAATTTTGCTCACACAACTAATGATAAGAATATGCACGAGCAATTGAAAGCCTAGGTTCATTCTCCATGTTGCCATTTATTTTGTATGTTGATGCTAGTCCAGACAAGATGTGTTTATTGTGCAGATTACCTTTTTTTCAATATAGGCTACATATATGCTACTCTACTCATATAGTCTTCTTCGAACAAATTCATCATACTGCAATTTTTTTGTTTAACTTGTTTTACCAAAGTTCAGTTAAGCTAGCCACAAATTTAACTCAATATTCCTTCTGGAATTTGAGTAGAAATTGTTAATGGGAGAACCCACTCATGGGAAAAATTCTCTTTACTCTAAACCAAATGCATAATAAATTATTGAAATAGCAAGATGTTTGAATCTCACCATCACTAAAGAGATCCTAGATAATGCATTTTCTCAGAAAAGCAAGGGAAAGCAGTGAGTTACAGGCTCTTTAGGGAACAGCACATCTGCTGTATATATGATGAAACTCAGTGGGCTAAATTAAAGTTGCAGTAATAATTTGAAATTTTCTGTCAGTTTTCAAGTCAGTCATATCATGTTATTTTTAGCATAGTTTACTTTATACAGGAATTTTCTTTGTCATTTTCGTGGGTGCGTGGTGGGCCAGAAAACATCCATGGGAGTGGATGAGTTAAAATAATTGTTAGAATGCACCTTGTTTCATAGAAAGGCTCTATGGCAAAGTAAAAGAGCTATCCGTGTTGATAATAGAAACAGGGCATACAAGTTTGCAAGCCTCATTCTGTTCTTAGATCTGGTCCATGCTTAAAAATTAGCTAGACCTGGCAGTGCTGCTCTAGGTTGTGAAAAAAATAATGCTCTGATCATTATATTTCGATCGACCTGTAGACATGGCTAAGTCAATGGAGAATTCTTCTCTTGACCTAGCTACCACCTTGTGGAAAGAAAGATTAGCTACATTGATGGAAACCCTCTGTGCTGCTCTAGATATGCCTCAGCCAAGTTGTTCTCAGCCAGGGCTTTGTAGAAGTCTTCTGGGGGAAGATCAATTCCTCTAGATAGTTACCTAATTTTCCAACAGGCTACAGAAAAAGTTAGTACAAATTAATATGTCTTATTTATACTCCTCTCTATACTAGACACCAAAATGCAAGTATAATATTTATATTCAAATTAACGTATTTTTATAATTATATGGTAAAAATGAGAAAATAAGCAATTTGTCAGTAATACAGTGCTGTGACACTTGTCTTTTTATGCCTGATTTTTATAAGCAAGTAGTTTTAAGCAAGGTGAAACTTGAGGGTATGCAAGGCAAATCGGACTCCTGAAAGGGGTACAGATAGGGTATGTCTAGACTACAGGGTTTTGTCGACAGAAGTTTTGTCGACAGATACTGTTGACAAAGCTTCTGTCGACAAAGAGCGTCTAGACTACATCCAGTTCTGTCGACAAAGCAAGCCACTCTGTCAATAAAAGGCGTTATTCCTCGTAGAATGAGGTTTACATACAACAACAAAACTGCTGAGTTTTGTCAACATTATGTTGACATAACTCAAAGGCAGTGTGGACGCAGGTATAGTTTTGTCGACAAGTCCACTTTTGTCGACAAAACCCTGTAGTCTAGACACACCCATACAGTAGTCTGGAAAGGTTAAGAACCACTGCCTGAATCTTTCTAATGAATCTTCTGGGGAGAGTGCTGAGTATAGCTAAAGGAGACCAGAATAGCTAAAGGCGACCTACTCTAGGCACTAACCTATTATCACCAGATAATGCCATAGGAATCACTGAATGGCTGTCAGAGGATGAAAGCTTTTACAGCCAAAGCCTCTCTCTGCCCATGCATGGGGGGAAGGAACCCATTCTGCATCTCCAAACCGCAGAGCAGAAGATCCATCACGGATGGATCTGTCTCTGTGTGTGCTGCTCACCCATGTAGGCAAAAGGACTGCATGAGTTAAGGCTTTTTTTTGGTGTCCATTACTGATATATAATTTTGAAGGCTAGACCATTTGTAGCAAAATAGAATTAGTCCAAGGCTGCCCAGCATAAATCAATGGGATTTCTGCTTTTGAGTCTTGCTAGCCTGCTGGACTGGCACAGATAGAGCCTTTCATCATAATTATTACT